TGTTTTGCTATAAATCAGGCAACAATGGTCTACATGACCTGTAATAAATAGGAACAAGGGACGTTATTATCACAATACTAATGACATTGCTCACTTTTTAAAGTTAGTTTCCATGTGTTATACAAAAAACAATTGAAATAAATTAATATTGGATTGAGGATGGAGGGGGGATAATGTGTATATAAGACATGATAAGACATGCTATACTAATTATCCCAACGAATGAAGTTCTGTAGGGATATAGTGAAGCTCCTGTCCGTCAGTCCGTCAGTCTGTCAGTCCGTCAGTCAGTCCGTCTGTCTGTCCGGAAGATAACTCGAATACTAGTTGACAGATTTTTCTCATATTTGGTGGAAAGATGTATATTGGTGAACAGTTTTACGCAAAAAATTTTTTTTCAAGATGGCCGCCAGTTTAAAAATGGCGGGAATTTTTCGCAAAAATCTTATGTTCTTCATTTTAAACCAAAATAATAAATATTATTATTTGAAATTTTGGTAGTATATTAACAACATCGATCTATTTCACATATATCCTGGGTTTTTCACCCTGACCCCCAGGGGCCGTAAATGGGGGATCGGGAAAACAGGAATTTGCCCTAATTTTGAGATGTTTTGAAGTATAGCTTTATTATACTCAAATGAAAGGCAATTTAGAGTAGATTGCAAATATTGTAACGTTTTTCTGATTCGGGCCTCAAAAAATTCAAAATGGCCGCCTAATGTGGGATTTCTCAATTGTTTTCTGATCTCTTAAAAGTATGGCTATATTATACTCAAATTGAAGGAATTTCAGAGTAGATCACAATTATGGCATTGTTTTTCTGATTTGTGCCTCTGAAAATTCAAAATGGCTGACTAGAGCAGAAATTCGCCATTACTTAGAGTTATCTTGAAAGTATGGTTACATGATACTACAATGATTTAAAATATTTATTGAAGGGTAAGAGTAGATGGTAAATATTCCATTGTGACTGTACAGATTGATGATTTTGTGTTCGTTGGGATTTGCTACTCCGTGGAGTTGCCATTTTCTAGTTGAATTTATTCTAATGACTCCAAATTTTCCCATTTTTCATTCTTATCCAGTTTCTTACTGGGGGAACTGAGTTTATATTTTTCAAATACACGAGTTCTTGTGAATTTGTTCTATCTTAAAGACATATAAATCCCCCCTCCATCCTATCCCCCCTCCATCCAATATTAATTAGCTCGCCTATTTTCAAAATGGCCGCCATTTTTGTTTCGCGAAATTCACTTTTGGCCCATTTCCTATATTTACAAATTATTTCAGGAGTCCTGCATTGTAAAAAGCCATGTCAGAGTAGTTGTATAAAATAATTTTGTTACAAAAAATCGGCAAAAAATCATATCCGTTTTTTTTATTTTTTTTTATTTTAGTTAACATTGATTTGTCCATCTGTCTCTCATTCAGTCCAAGATAGTGGCAAGTTTGTTCAGCATCAATAAAGAAAAAAAAACCTGTGACTCCTGCTTCAAAAGCTCGCCTAAATTTAAATAATTGTGTGGGTTTCTTAGTGTTTCTATGAAAAATAACACGCTCTGTCACAGTGGGCAAATTTTTTGATACCGGCCTGTGTAATAACTTAAGGAAAAATAATATTTTGGATGCAACTTTGAAAAACCCAATCAACATTTTCAAAATTTATTTCAAAGTAATATTTAACTATGAGGAGAATGACTTGTTTTCTGAAGGCAGTGGTGGGGGTGGTTACAGTCTTACATTTGAAGAGGGCAAAGCATTATGTGAGAGAAATGGACACAAAATTGCTTCACCAGCACAACTCCAAGCAGCGTTTCAATATATTGGGGATGGATTTGTGTGCCACAGGATGGTTATCAGATAAGACAGCACAATACCCAATACAAATGCCTAGACCTGGTTGTGGATCTGTGGGCCTTAATTCATATATTAATCCATCTGGTCATGCCCATGTCTGGTGTGCCAGATATTAGCCTAGTATTGCTGTTGTTTATTTCACATTGATTTTTATGAAGAGAATAAAATTAAAAATGATAAATAGTCAAAATTGTTTTTGTCTACAAGGCTATATCCATGTTGGAGACATTTTGTTAATCTTTCTTATCTACCATTTTTTGGCTCACATGTTGAGCCTGCTCATCTGTCTCAGTTTATCGTCTGTTCAACTTTCAACAATTTTCAGATAAAAAACTGGTTTATTCTCTGAACTAATGCTTATCCTTTTCATGGGGGTCCATATTGATTTACACAAGTTACACAATAGATATTGCAAACAGGTATTACATGTCAACAATGGAGTCTTTAAGCTGGCAATGTTTTTCACAACGTAACCATGAATGCTTTTCATTGCTATTTCTCTAAAGTAAACATATTTATTCCATAATAACATGTTTTCCCTGGGAAAATAACAGGGAATAAAAGTGTTATTTGAAAAATCCCGTATCAGATCCCGTATCAGCCAAAATCCCGTATCAGATCCCGTATTGGATCCCGTATCAGCAAAAATCCCGTATCAGATCCCGTATCAGAAATATTCCCGGTAATTTCTCTTGAGTTTAACGCTTTTCGTCTAGCACATCTCTACATGAAGTAAAAAAATCGTTTGGAAAATTGAAATTATTGAAATTATTATATGATAAATTGTATAATTTTATGTCACAATCATTGGATGATGACATACAAAAATTGAAAAAAAAATATTATGAAATAAATAGGTTATTGATGGTCGTGATGGAATATGGATTTATTCCTTGAGAAAATATGATATTGGCCTCAGAAAATATCATATTGACACTCGGGCTATCGCCCTCGGTCAATATGATATTTTCCTTGGCCAATATCATATTTTCCCTCGGAATAAAATCCATATTCCATCCCTCCCATTAAATAACCTCTATTTATCCCATACTAAGTAGTGTTATAGGTAAATAACATGCAGGAATATAATTGATATCTGAGGTGAGCGGGAGATATATATATCTCCCGCTGAAAAAACTGTAATTTTGCAGATCATGTCTGCCTGCCATTGCTGACTCAGAAACCCGCTTAAAAACTCTTCAAATTATTAATGTGCAACTTTTGAACCGCCACAAAACTTTTTTAAAACATATAATCATTTCAACAGATTAAGGGTGAGTTGTCAATCTCTGGGGTGATTTATTTTTTACTATGTTACTGATGAAAAATGTGTCCAGATGAAAATGCAACATTTTATTGACACTGAATCGAATTGGTTAAACCTAAGTTTTGTCATTTCGACCAATTTATTTAGGTGAAATGCGACTAAAACATATTTTTGTTGCAATCAGAATAAAGATGGGTGTACACACGGGTTTGTTTAACTACAAAATGCATGGCAAAAAGAATTCATTCAAGTGGTAGTTGGTGTTTGAACTGATTACATGTCAGCTTACTTACATAAGTACATGTACGCAATAACCATGGTCACAGAGCTGCAGACACCTATTTATTTTGAGTTAGTAATGGAATATTACAGGGGCAATACGGGAAGACCTCAATTTTTCAGAATTTCCAAATAATAATGGTAGATTTTACGGTAGTTTGAACAAAACTACATGATTTCAGCAGTAATATGGTAGATTTCAAAATATTTACGGTATATTGTCAAAATAAAAACAGTATTTTTGTAATCAGTGGTAAAATATGATATTTTTGAAAAATTGCAATGCAGATATCAATATCCATGAGAGGATTAAAATCATATCACGAGTAAATCATAGGATGTTCTTTTTATTCCATAGTTAAAGTCATCATCTGCTCATGCAGATATCATATCCATTCGTGGATAAAAATCATATCACTCATAAATCATAGGATATCCTCTCTATTTATCACTTGGATTTTGTCAATATCTAATAAAAATATTGCTATACAAAAAATCGATAAATGTGATCAAGTCAAAATTGATGATTTAGATAAATCTGCAATGACTAATTTAGAAAAGAGTACAAAAACACGTTTATGCATTAATTTTTTGTTCCAGCTTGGGGGAGCACATTTGAAACTGCTCCCCCAAGCTGGACAAAAAAAATTAAACATTTTTTTTAAATGAAAAAGACCCAATACATCTAAATCTCATAAATACCCTCAGGGTAATGCTGAAAACATGTATAAATATTATTTTGTCACCATCTGGAAAATAACTGGAATACTGGTAGACAGAATTGCTTCATATTTGTGAATACTTTTCCACAAATAAATTATTTCAAGATGGCTGCCACTTTAGAAATGGCAGGAATTTTAAATTTTTCCTTTTAAACCAAAGTAATGAATATTATTGTTTGAGATTTTGGTAGTATATATTCACAACATCTATCTTATTTCACATATATTCCATGTTTTTCATCCTGACCCCCAGGGGCTGTGTATTTGTGTGTGTGGGGGGGGAAACAGTATTTTTTATTGATTTTGAGATCTTTCTGAACTTATAGCTTTATTTTACTCAAATGAAAGGCAACTCAAAGTAGATTGCAAATATTGTTTTTTCTGACTCGGGCCTCTTAAAATTCAAAATGGCTGCTTAATGTGGGATTTCTCAATAATTTTCTGATCTCTTCAAAGTATGGCTATAGTATACTCAAATTGAAGGAAGTTTAGAGTAGATCACTATTATGGTGTTATTTTTCTGATTGGTGCTTCAGAAAATTCAAAATTGATCCCTAGAAAATCTTAAATTGTCACCCAAATGAATTAGAAATTGTGATATATCTCTAATATGTGTCTTTTAATATTTGCCAATTTAATCAAGGGTAGAATAGATGGTAAATATTACATTGTGACATACAGATTCATGAATATAGTGTTCGTTGAGATTTGCTCCTCTGTGGAGTTGCCGGTTCTAGTTTGAGTCTGTTTCCTTGTATGTTGGATCATCAAGGGTTTGTTTCTTTGCAGTTGTACTTTGTCTTTTTACTACATTTTCCCCATTTAGCCATTTTCTTAGCTTATTTGTTCACATGTGCTGTTTATATTTACAGATCTGGGAAAATGAATAACATGGCGAGTGGTGAGTTGTCAGCAGTTGAAGTTACAGTTGTCAGCAATCTTGCCCAGAGGGCACACCAAGGAGAGGTTTGTATTTATTTATTTAATCTATTTATTTGTTTGCTCTCACTATTTACAAATGTGGCACATAAAAGTTATCAAATTCGGCAAAATAACATACAGTATGTATAAAAATATGACCATTAAAAATTCATTACAAGCATCAAGCCTTTACTAAATGATTAGATAGGAGCATGATTTGTTTGTATAATAAATCGGGGGAGTTTTCACATTCATTTCCATTTTGTTTTTCATCTAAAACAATGCACTTTACAATATTTTTATTGACTATTAGATTGTTCCATATAATCCCCAAAAAATATTTCTCATTTTCAAGGATTATCTATGGATTAACACCCAGGTATTTATAGTAGTCAACAAAATGTTACAAAGTGCATTGTTGTTTTTAGATGAAAAATATAAGCGAAATGAATGAAAAAACTCCCCTGATTCATTCCACAAACAACTCATGCTCCTTTATGTAACATATACTTTTCTCTTGTTTGAATATTTACTATTAGCATGATGTATCAAATTCTAGCCACATAGAATATAGTATTTCAAATTATTTGCATTCTTAATTTTACAACAGAGTGTATAGACTGTTTTTAGATTCAGTGAGATTGATTACCCTCATTAATTTCATAATTTTAAGTTAGCAGAAGGAATATCAAGACAGATACTTACTAGTATGTAGGTTAAAACATCAAACCTTGCTAAATTCATTCTTTTAATGTGATGCTATACAAAATTGTATTGAGTGAAATGGTTTGAGCAGATGATTCATGAATTGTGAATGATTTAATACACTCATTTCTTATGTCCTAGACTTTAAATTCTGGTTCTGGCTGCTATCCTCATTCAAAGTCCTGATACAAGACATGCATGGTTTAAGTCATCTTCAATTCAATGAGTCTTGGGATTAAATCCTTTCATAACATATTCTTTGAAAAAAAATGCTAAAGAATGCATAGGTGTCAAAAAATATGTCCTGAAGAGAGCACTGTTAAAAGCATGAAAGAGAGCAGGAAGTTTTTGTGCATACATTAGGATCATGATAGAACGCTAGCCGTATTAGTTCTTCTTGACATTTTTTGGATGATATTGGGAACAAGGGATGAGACAAGAGAAAGGACCATGCGACACATGTAATCAGAACATTTCAAATTTTTCGTTCAGCGCAACCCAAAAAAATCGGGCTAAGAGCTCTTAGCTAAAACCGAAGGATTTACACTCGCCTGTAAAACGTTTTAACGCTAAGACGTCTTGGCTATGACTAGGGTCCTAAAACGTTTTAGCTAAGTGCTCTTAGCCGAAAGCTCTTGAGAAAATCTGGATTTACATAACATTTAACGTCTTTGGGCTCTAATCCAACAAGTAACTAACTTAGTAAATAACTTGTTAACTGACAGTAACTAACTTAGTAACAATCTTGATTTCTAGTTATATGGATTTGGTTGTAGGTGAAGGTTGTAGCAGACCCCACACAACCAGTAGACACATTGATATCAGCATTTTGTACAGAAAAGAATATCCGCCAAAAGTATAAGTATGTCATACGAACTTCCCGGGGTGAAGTACTCAGTAATACAATGACAATCGCAGGCGCATATATACAGGATCAGGATGTGGTCACATTGGGAACTAAAGGTGTGTTTGCTTGCTTAGTTTGTTATTCTTTTCAAAATATTATATAGTGTACAATGCACTGATCTCCACAGGATTTTTTCTCAAGTGGGTGCATAATTCTCATTTTCACAATTCAGACCAAAATTGGTCGAATTCTGCCTATTTTTCATTCTCATTTTCAAGTAGGTGCAAATGGATTTTCAGGTGGGTGCAAGCCTATTTTCAAAATTTCAGGCGGGTGCTGTGGCCATTTGCTTTAATGCTGGGGAAATCACTGCAATGAATATCCTTCTCTTGATCATGTTATTAGAATAAATGTTTTCGTCAGAGAGAGAGAGAGATAAGTGATGAGTCTGCCTCCAAAAATGAAGAAATCTATTCTGCTAGCCATTACATTAGCTTTGTATTGAAAGCCCATATGTCAATAACAAGAGAGATGAATTTATAGTGCAGGTACTCTAAAATATCTGTCCATCCCTGTCAACCTGAAGGCACCCAACATGCGTGACTCACCAAGGTTTAACTCACAAGTTCTGTTTTTGAACACCTATCCATGTCTGAATTTCTACAGCTTCAATTTTTTGCTCTCGCTACAATACCTTCAATTTGTCCCACTCGCTCACATTTTTGACCTGGTGTCTTCTACACAACTAACTACAGTACAACTGCAACATGAACTGCACTATGCTTACAAAAATATGAGTCCCATATGAAAGAAAATGATTTTAAAAGAAATGTTTGCTTCATAATTGAATTAAAAACTGCCCAAGTTGGGTGATTTTTTGATAATGTATATTGGCATTTGTGTCCTATGATTGAAACATGTTCATTCTAATCTTTTTTACTCAAAATGGAGTTGTAAAACTCACATATTCTCATCTTTCTCAATATTCTCATTCTCATACCTCAAATATCTATAGGATATATTGAATACTAATATAGCTAAGAAAACAGATTTTTTAAAATTTCAAAATGTGTGATTTGCGTGACTTTCATCATACACACAAAGTTTTCCATCAAATGCATGACAAACGCATGTAACGCGTGAGGATTGACGGGCCAGTTAGTTATCTTTCTTGAGATTTATGATATTTACTCACCTCCCCTCAGAATGTAGTATGTATTCCACTGTATAAATGTTTTATTAATGGACTATTAGTATTCAATATGTCCTATAGATAAATGAACTTGTGATATAATGATAGTACATTTATCAATGTTAAAATTGTTCTATAATTTATCTGTTTAATTTACAATTTTTCTTTAAAATTGGAGATATGGGAGTCTAACCTCGCATCTTTGTGTACCAAAGATGCAGTGCTTGCAGTTTCTTGAACTGGAATAAGAAGATGTTGTAAAAACAAACAGATATTAATTAGATGGGGCATATAAAAAAGGCCCTGTCTAACAAAGGAGGTGTTAGGGGATTTGGATGGTGGGAAAACAAAATATATGCTTACCTAAACGCCGTATATCAGTGGTAAAACAAAAACAACAGCCTTACGAAATCTTGTTGCGTCTTCCTATTGTTGAAAACCCACGCTATCTAATCCTTTCTTCTCGGTCTCTGATTGGTCAGAAGTTTAGGTCAAGGGCTGTCCTGATGGTTACATATACATCTATGTTAACATAGCGTGAATCATCATCATTTACTGCATTGTTGATTGATAGTTTTTAGTCGCCACCACAAGTGCTGACATATTGTTATAGTCTGTAAATTTTTTGTGGATGTTGTTCAGCATTCGATATTTGGTGGGCTGGGTTGAACAAAAAGCAGGTATGATGATGATATTTGGCCGGGGGTGGGGAGGGTTCACCTGAACCCTGCGAACCCCCCCCCCCTGGCTACGGGCCTGAGGTTGTGACATTTTGCATGTCTTATACAGGGTGCTTCAGAAAAGATGCAACCCACATATCTAACATTGCATATCTTTTTACCCAAATGTAGCTTGAAAAATCCTTTTTGGCATAAGTAAAGTTGGTTCAATGTTGTTTGAGTCAAGCAGGTTTACCACTGTGATATGTGTATGACATGACCCATTTGATGCCCATATAAAAAATCTGCTTCAAATACCACACCTCATGGGACAGACTTGCAAACATCCCCGTCTTCCATGTCATCACTAGTTTGAGCTCTGAAATGGTTCTGGGATTGTTGATATACACATGACATTTTCAGGACAAGAGCAATTAGTCTAAATATTTTCTGCATGTTTCATCAATAAAATCACACAAAGTGTGCAAGTCTGTCTGCAGAAAGGTGGTTTAAATTTGAGCAAGGTTCTTTCAATGGCTAGCAAATAGATCACACGTAATCTACAGTGATGAAACTTAAACAACATTGAACCAACTTTAATTATGCTAAACAATATTGTCTATTCATTAAAAAGATATTCATTGTTAGGTGGGTTGTATTTTTTTGAAACACCCTATATTATTTTGAAATATTGACATAATCTGATATTGTAAATATCTGACTTGTTTTGTTGCACATATAGATCAGTTCAATGAGAAGACCTATGGTTGTAGCAACTGGCACATACTCGCTGCGCTCTGTATTTTTATTGGTGTAGTTGGATTGGCAGCCATTATCGTCATTCGTCAATTAGAGGTGCAAAAACCATTTGATGTAAGTAATCAAACCCATTAATTTATGTGACATATTATTTTGAGTGCCTTTTGTATATGGTTTTTTAAAAAATCCCTATTGTTTTTGAAGAATTTTGCAACTGTTCCCATATTGAAAATGTTATTTCCAATAATTATGCCTCTTGTTTTCATTTGTTTTTCCAATTTCTATAAAACCCTTGAACTGCTGTAGTCCATCAATGTTACATTTAAAGTATATAAAGAATGAAATGTGAGGGATTAAAGACGTAGGGCATGACTGTTTAATATGTAATTTCTTTTATATTTCAGTATGGGATTGTCCTTGATGCGGGATCATCACACACAAACTTATTTATCTACAAATGGGAGGGGAGTCAAAATAATGGGACAGCAGTAGTTAATCAGATATATAAATGCAATATACAAAGTGAGTATCCTCATGACTAGATCCAGTTCAATTTTTCATTTTTTCTTGTGACATATTGTTATTAGCTCGCATGGTGAGCTTTTGCAATCTCTCACTTGTCCGTCTGTCTGTCAGTGCATCCGTGCGTCCGTCCGTCAACAATAGTGGCATGTTTTAAAACCTCTGTCGATAGGATTCCCGTTTTAAGTTATTTCTGTTCAACATCAATACAGAAAACTCCCCTATGACTCCTGGTTCAAAAGCTCGCCTATTTTCAAAATGGCCACCATTTTTGTCTCGCAAAATTCACTTTTGACCCATTTCCTAGCTTTACAAATTATTTCAGGTGTCTCGCATTATAAAAATCCATGTCAATGTAAAGAGTAGATGATTTGTCAATCTGACTCGCGAAATCCACTTTTCTGTCAACAATAGTGGCACGTTTAAAAACCTCTGTCGAAAGGATTCCTATTTTAGGTTATTTCTGTTCAACATCAATACAGAAGACTACCCTACGACTCTTGGTTCAAAAGCTTGCCTATTTTCAAAATGGCCACCATTTTTGTCTCGCGAAATTCACTTTTGACCCATTTCCTAGCTTTACGTCCTGCATTTTAAAAACCTATGTCAATGTAAAGAGTAGTTGTATGAAATAATTTTGTTACAAAAAATCGGCAAAAAATTATATCCGTTTTTTTTATTTTCAGCCATTTTAGTTAACATTGATTTGTCTATCTGTCTGGCAAAATCCACTTTTGGACCATTTGCCTTAAAACCTCTGTCGATAGGATTCCCGTTTTAAGTTATTTCTGTTCAACACCGTATGACTCCTGGTTCAAAAGTTCGCCTATTTTCAAAATGGCCACCATTTTTGTTTTGCGAAATTCACTTTTGGCCTATCTTCTAGCTTTACAAATAATTTCAGGTGTCCTGCATTGTAAAAAGCCACGCCACTGTTAAGAGCAACACCATGTGAGCCCAGTAGCCACAGTACTATTTTATTAAAAGTGGCCATTGTATTTTATGGCCAGCAAACAATGTTTGGCACACTGGCATCCAGCATTTGGCATTGTTAGTACCTCAGCTGAAATACTCAATTTTGAATGGTTAATTTAAACTAAACTCTATATACTGTTGACTGCTACTAGGTAGTGTTCACTGCTTCTTTTGGAAAAATATGCAATGATGTATTTTACTATCCCTATATAAGGCAAACCATATTGGCTTTTTACACTGATGGGTTACCTCCCTTCATTTAATTCATCGTTTTATTATCCCATCGAACGAAGTTCGGAGGGATATAGGGAACGCCTCCGTCCGTCCGTCCATCCATCCATCCGTCCGTCCGTCCGTCCGTCCGGGCAATAACTCAAATACCGTTGGCCCGATTTTATTCATATTTTGTACACATATACCCTATGGGGGTAGAAGTTCTGCTCGAAAGCCGATTTTCAAAATGGCCGCTCATTTAAAAATTGCGGCCATTTTAGTGCCGATTTTACAGTAATTTAGGTGCAATAGGTAAAACTGTAATAGCAATATGTTTTAAATGTAAAAAATTATATAGGACATTAATAAAGCTAGAAATGTAGATATTAAAAAAGCACATGGCAGCCATCTTGAAAAATGGCGGCCTTTACTCGTTATTTTACGATTTTTGCTGTAACTCGAAAAGTAGTGGAGCGATTTTGTTCATATTTGGTATGTGAATACTATAGGTATGGCACACTGTCTAATGACACTTTTGGTAGAAGGCGGCCATTTTGAAAAATGGCGGACATTTTGAAAAATGGCCGCCATTTTAACTTATTTTACTAAAACTCGAAAAGTAGTGGAGCGATTTTGTTCATATTTGGTATGTGAATACGTATAAGCATGACACACTGTCTAATGACACTTTTGGTAGAGGGCGGTCATTTTGAAAAATGACCGCCATTTTAACGTATTTTACTATAACTCGAAAAGTAGTGGAGCGATTTTGTTCATATTCGGTATGTGAATACTGTAAGCATGGCACACTGCCTGATGACACTTTTGGTAGAAGGCGGCCATTTTGAAAAATGGTGGACATTTTGAAAAATGGCTGCCATTTTAACTTATTTTACTATAATTTGAAAAGTAGTGGAGCGATTTTGTTCATATTTGGTACGTGAATACGTATCAGCATGGCACACTGTCTAATGACACTTTTGGTAGAAGGCGGCCATTTTTCAAAATGGTCGCCATTTTGACGGTTTTTACTATAACTCGAAGCGATTTTGTTCATATTTGGTATGTGAATATTATAAGCATGGCACACTGTCTAATGACACTTTTGGTAGAAGGTGCCCGTTTTGAAAAATGTTCGATGGGATTCACTATGCTTTGGCGTTGCCGTTGTTCTGGTTAAATTATGACAAGGCTATGAATACAAGTAGAACGCGGAAGTGCAACTTTTTTGGAGGGAGGGTGAGAACAAGCTGGAATTGCAACCAGATGGAGACATTTTGTCCATTGTCTGTTTCCTTTTTCAAATGTACATTGTAGTTTTAACACTTTCAGAAGCCATATCTTCATTTACGACTAACATAACTCAAGCGGGAGATTCCCTGAGACCATGTTTGGAAAAAGCAACACGTCAGATACCCACCAGCAAACATAGCTCAACACCCATATATTTAGGAGCCACTGCAGGAATGAGGCTACTTAAGTATGTATGCTTTACATGTTAATCTGCTTTACATGTTATGTCCATCTGCTTTACAAGTTCAATTTGATTGAAATGACGAATAACTGACATTTTAAGTGTTGACCTGTTTATTTTGTTTTCTTGCTGTTTTTTCTATATTTTAAAACATGACCAGTTTCTACAACACTTGCTTTTCGCATGTACACTCTCCCAAAATGTTTGGAAATATATCTTTAATGTATCAGGTTTAAAGATAACATATAGAAAGTTGATAATAGGCTATAATGGAAATGATAACCAGACTGCATTTTTGAACTATTTTATAAGTATTGTAACATTTGTGATATATAAAGCATACATTCAAGAATTAAATAATGGAATAAAACGGAATTTTGAAGGAATTGTTAAAACTCTAAAATTAGAAATTTATGTATGTAAAAATGTATTTTTTAAAAACAACTGGAATATGATAAGTCAATATGGTACAACGAAAATGGGACTTCTGCGCATGTTAAAATTTTTCGTCAAAACTCAACTTTTGTTCAGGTTGATACGATTGTCTTTCGAACTAGAGACTTACCTCATTCGAAAGATCATAAAAGACTTTATCTATACTGAAAATCTTAGATCCAAACATAGTAGAATACGCCGTCAGTCCGCATTTGATTTTTTGAAGTGAGTTTCGTAGATCGTCAGATTTCTCCGACTGATATCGGGTTATCTCAAACTGGTTCGTTTATAAATACGAATTTCTTTACCGTTGTAAGGCGCATGCGCAAAATTGATTTATAAACTTTATTGGTTGATGGTTTTTCTCCTGCGCATGCGTGAAGTCTGATGAACACTTATGACGAAGACCGGAGCAAACATTACTAGCTCTCGAACGAAATTCCAAGATTCGGGTCATTTCGCCGTGTTTGCTAAGCGTGTATACGTGAATGACAAGCTGTTTTGAGTAGATCAGGTACCTGTTTTAGACACAACATTGATTTAGCTTGACATTGATGTGCACATTGGCACTTTTGAGCATGTTAATACAAGTTTTTACACTCTTAGCACGAGACGGGTTTTCGAAAAATCTGTTATCTGATTCACTCGATTATCGTATGGATATGTAATTCTGCTGACATTTCAACACCACATCACATAGGATTACGATGCAGAATGATAATAAAACACAAAACAACTACTAAATTCCACTTGTTATTTCACAGGAGGTAAAAATGCAAACTGCCTAGATTCTTTGTAAGGGCTGTCAGACATCGGATTGGCCGCCATATTTGAAATGAAAATATCACTAAATAGAGGTCTGCGCATGTCTCAACATTTCGACTGTGATAAGATTGTAATTGATTTACTACTACTGTATCTGTACTTATTTTAGAATCTGAAATAAACTATATTGAAAAGAAGAAAAAAACAGTTTCTACAACATAGAGTATATAGAAGTTATTCAATTGGAGGTTTTGATACAGGGTATATCTGAGGGAAATACAATATATCTACCGTAGGGACCGAGGGTTGATACATTGTATTTACCGATTGACATCAAAAATTGAACATTCAATAACTGATTTATCCTGTACTAAGGTGATTTTAAGAATTAAATATGCATTGAATGTTAGGGAACCCTAATGTAATAATTACAAACGATAATTACAATCAAAACATGAATATTTTATCTCAATTTAAAGTCCTCGACAATTTTTGTTTTTTAAAACTCAACAGCTTTTAACATTTAACATTGTATGGAATTAATATTTATCAAATAGAGCCAAAGTACATCCCGTGAATTCAAAAAAGCACCGAAAGAAATTCCTGGGGATTGCTGATGAGCGGGTGATATAAATATCTCCCACTCACCTCAGTGGGAGATAAATATATCACCCGCTCACCTCAGATATTGATTATATTCCTGCATGTTATTTACCTATAAAACTACTTAGTATGGGATAAAAAGAATATTACCATAAAACGTCATTGCTTTCATATAAATGGAACTATTTATAAAATGTGCATCTATATTGCATCTAGGAAGAGCATATGGAGCATTTAGCATATGGAATATCAATTTTGGGAGCCAGTAGTTGTAATTCTCATTCTAAATAACCCTAGTATATTTCTAATTCATAATGATATGTTACACAATCAATATACTATATTCTTTTCTAGTACAGTACAGTACTAAAGATTGTGTATGTATTTTTGTAGAGAGTCAAATTCCACAATTAGTGATGGAATTCTAAGTTCGGTGCGACAGACAATACAGTCATACCCCTTCAAGGTGTCCAATAGCCTGAGTCAGGTAATCATTTTTAGCCACCTGAATTGTGTAATGTTACAAACCAACAGGTTATGATCTTTCTGTTCATTAAATGCAGTATACCATTAACAAAATCAAAATATACTATAACACAATGACATAAAAAAGCAACCAATGTATAAAAACATCAATTACTTGAATTATGATCATAAACATTTCATGTATTGCACAGTCTATCTACTGAAGCAAAATCAAGAACATTCCACCACTATTGACAGTGTAATTCCAAAAATATTGAGGGTTGCAATTTTGTACATTATACCTGGTATTTTCCTCTTTGTATAGTCTTTTTCCTCTTTTTCTTGTGACCTAATGAAAATGTCTGACCCAACTTGACCCATTGACATTCCTAATTCTTGTATGTCGTTTGTAGGTGAGGATCATAACAGGGGCAGAGGAAGGAGTGTTTGGTTGGATAACAGTCAACTTTCTCTTTGGATCATTTGGAAATGTAAGTTGTTTTTATTTATATTTATTTCTGTAATATGGTATATAATATACAATTTACATGAAGCTTGCTAATGGTTTTGCTTGTAAGGGGTCATCTCATACATTCCCCACTAAATTCTATATACTGCTTTGTCTAGATGGTGTAAGTGATCATTGTGTATGTACCGTTCCCTTAGAAATTTGCATTCTTTTTCAAAGATTTGGGATTTTGCAATTTAAAAACTAAGGATTTTGAATAAAAATATAATTTTGTGATTTAAAAACTACGAATTTTGAATCAAAAAATTGAAAGGTACATTGTGCAGTTTGGCGAGTGATTTAAGATAGTCGTATCTTTCACCATGAGTACTTTCTTGGCATAAATACAGTGATTTTTATTAAAACAATATGTTTTCTTTCAAGTGAAGTACTCATGATGATAAAAATATCAATCAAACAATTATGAAAAATTATGAAGAGGAGGGACCCCATGTCAAAAATTTTTTCAAAAAAGCATCTAAATTAAATATTTATGAACACATTTTTAAACTGCAAGGAAAAGTAAATATTGCTCATGATTTTAAGAAAATTATAAATGCCTTTGCTGCTTACTGAGATTGAATGGATTTTCTGGACTTTTACTATTGTATAAGGACCAAAATTTTGATAGAGTATATAATGCTGTGTAAATCCTATTTTACTATTGTATAAATTCTAATCCAGGATATAATGTATACAGTAGAACCTGCTAAGTGGAACACCTCTATAAGTGGAACACCTCGCAAGTGGAACACTTTTTCAAAGTCCCGTTTTAAAAACCCATTGACTTAATGTTAATTGAACCTCTGTAAGTGGAACACCTCCAAACTTGAACAGTGAACACCCCATATTGAAAAATTAACCTGCTAAGTGGAACAGTCAATTTTTCATAAATTTCAATATTGATACTTATGTAAAAAGAATTAACCTTCTACAGTGATATCTGGGTATGAAAACAGGTAATGACATGATAATTGGCAAATTAGGATCACCATATAGCAAATTGGATTAACCCCCTGTAGAGATCAACATGTGATGCTACCACTAATTAATTTGATAATTAGCAAATTAAGATTATCATTCATCAAATTGGATTAACCTCCTGTAGAGATGGACCCGTGATGCTACCTCTAATTAATACCCCTTGCTGTTTGTGTCAAACTTTATAAGTAAGATTAAGAATGTCAGATAAAAATAAATGAATTATTAGCAGTAGGAACAAGTCTTTAAAACTTAATTGCCAAATCTTTGTGCCTGAGACTGGCAGAATGAGGAGGATTAAGAATGTCAGAAACATTTTTGGCAGATTGAGGAGGATTTCGAATGTCAGATACCTTTTTGAGTAAAACAAATGGATAGTTAATGGTATATAGCTGCCCTGCAACAGTGCAATGAACAGAGAATCAGATTTCCGGTGATACATATAAACCCTATATTTGATCTTGTATGTTCTTTAAATCTCCGCGAACCCAAAACCTCCGTAAGTGGAACACCTCCTAAGTGGAACGCTTTTTGGCAGAACGGAGGGTGTTCCACTTACACAGGTTCTACTGTATTTCCGTTTTGTATAGTTTTATTGATTCAAGTATTGTTTGTGTTTATGTACTTTGCGTTTATGTTTTTGAATAAATAATTTTATAAAAAACAACAAAAAAACAATTTTTTCAAAATGTTGAACTAATATTTGCTCAAAAGAGGACCTTCTTTTTCTGATTTTATTGCATGAAAAGATTATTCAACAAGTGTTCTAAAACTCCTTCCAAAGTAGAATTGTATTGAAAGCCTAGTTTTGAAGATATCAATTTTTGATGACCAAAATTATGCTGAAAACAATGGATGGGAAAATAACATGGGATATGTGGATTTTAACTTTATCGCATTTCAATACCGATCCCCTTTTCAGAAAAATTGTTAATAAGTGGAGAAGAAACTTTGATATGTTTAAATTGAGAAAAACGAGATCAATCCTCTTTTTAGAAAATAAGCCTAACATTTTTAAAAAAGTGCAAAGGTGGGGTCCTAGTCCATAATGTTTCAGAGAGCTACTATCATGGGGACTTCACTTGAAAGAAAACATATTGTTTTAATAAATACCACCGTATTTATGGCCAGAAAGTACTCATGAAAGATATGGTCATCTAAAGTCACTTGCCATGCTGCACATGGACCTTTGCGTCAATTTGCAAATAAAAAAATTATTTATGCAAAATAATATTCCACCTTCCTCGTGCAGCATTCTCTAAGGTAATCATTGACAAGTTGTTTGGTAGATGTTTTAATGGAATCACCTTAAGAATTGAGTGTGATCGTTAATCTTTTCACTTAAAATTATTGCGATCCAGCACTCTTAGTAGTGTAAAATGCGGATCACTTGTGGACCAAAACAATAACAAATTCAAATGGAATTGATGGATCCTCAAAATACCCCACACAGTTACAATGGCTTCTTTGTACACAATATTTTTATCTATTTTTGCGGAAATACTTACCAATGCTTGGAGAAATGATGCTAAATTTTATTGAAACAAATATAAATGGATCTCCAATATTTCTCTGGAGTGAACAGCATTCAAGAAGGTAATGAACTATGCATCAACTCCAGTAAATAACTTTAAATTTCTTGCCTTTTGCATTTTTTTGTGCGAGGTTGGAAATTTTGAGAATGACCCCCGTTTCAACAAGGAACGTTGAAAAAGATCGCTGAACTGATCAAACAATACCTCTAGATCTACCAGATCAATCAGATCAGGACCATACCTTGGTGCATTATATATAATTTATTGTGAATTCAGTTTTAAATCATATTTAAAACATATTAATCTCATGGATTAATTTATATATTGCTTACATTCCTTTGTACATTTTTAAATTGAAATTGTAGAATATATCGTAACTTGAAAGAAATACTCGATCAAATCATTGAAAATGTTCAAGTTGTAGTCCTGGTTGTTCGCTTTGTTTATACAGGTAAAGCTTATTGTTTGGTCAATCAGCCTCAAGTCACGCGTCGAATTTTCTTCAGTCCTTTTCATTGTCTCAGTATAGATACGTTGAAGACTCGCACTGTCATTGAGTATGATAAAGCAATATTATCAACACGTGTAGTGGTCTCGAGGTCATCTTGCCCATAAATGTGGTTTTGAGATATCCCTGGCAAATACATGTAGGAGTTATAGAAATCCTGAAACTGTTGAATAACTTGTCATAATATCAGCGGAGCTGGAATGGTATGCCAAAAGATAAATAAAAGGTAATACAAACTTTGGCAAGGCTACATGTTTAAATGATACTGAATAAATGAATACATGAAATGAATGATATTTTGTAGTTCAAGCCATCTGTGTGGCTAGACCTCCAGCCTTCTCAGAATGCAGAAGAAACCCTTGGAGCGCTAGATATGGGTGGTGCGTCAACTCAGATAACTTTTCTCCACAACCATGATGCATCAATCCCAGTGGAGTATGCCAAAAAAGTCAGGTTGTACGGACATGACTATAATCTCTACTCATATAGCTTTCTTTGTTATGGTATTAAGGAGGCTGTTAGGCGCTACAGAGTCAACTTACTCAAAGTGAGATCTGCATTAATATTTTGCTGTAGTACAGAGTGCCTCAATAAAAATGTTACAAGTACAAAATAGTCAATATCTTTTATAATTTTGACATTTTAACCTAAAATATAAATTGAATCCTTAAAGAGCAAGCTCTTCAGATTTATTTGACACTAGCTTAAAATCATTCAGTGATTGACTACACAGGACAGATTTCATTGACTCATATGAAATCTGACTTGAGGCAATTTCTCAGTGGTTAAAAAGAACAAAGGATAAAGAGGAAGCATTTCTTTAACATTGAATCATATATTCATTTGTTTTTTGTAACATGGCCGCTATGCCTATCCACGCTAACATGCGCTCGTCTCAACATGTTCTCACAAGCTTGTGTCATGAGCTTCCTTTCTTGTCATACCACACTGACTTTATCAATTATTCTTTGATAAGGTTCATTCAGATCAGTTGGGAGCGATGTGAAGACCTTGATTTTTAGGTGGCTACAGTACACAAGAGCAAATTCAGGGGGTTTAAGTCGGGTGACCTTGGGGGTCACTCGACTGGGTTATTCAATGCTATGATCCAATTTTCAAAAAGTTCTGTCACAGCCCTTCACCTGTGAGGAGTGTCACCTTGTTGTCACCACACATACCGAGAATGAGCATTCTGCTTGTGTTGGAATCTTGGAATGCCATCCAGGAAAGGCATGACACATTCAACCACTGAGAAGTTGACGCTAGTCAGATTTCACAAGAGCTAATAAAATCTGTCCTGTGCAGTCAACCATGGAAGGATTTTGAATCTGCTGGTGGCAAATTAATCAAAAGAGCTTGCTCTTTATGAACTAAAGTATATTTAAGGGTAAATACCAAGATATTGACATTTTTATACTTGTATTATTTTATTGAGCCACACTGTAGTATGAATCAAAAATGTTCAAATTGTATTTTATACACTCATAAATTAGTGAAAAAGTGACATCACTTTTGGAAGAAATCAGTGCTTATCAAATATTTTATCTTAAAGAGCAACATATACAAAACAAAACTAGAAAATAGAAACTCAACAAACATTTTTGTTCATTACCTTAAGATTTACTTAGTATCTTTTAGTACACATATTAGCACATTGATAATACAAGCATGCAGCAGATCGATAGATATTGACAAAGTCTTTCTGTCAACTAGTCAATTTTTATTTCAATTTGTTAGAATTAAAAAAAACTATGAGAAGATCTTACCATAAAACTCTTCATATTTCCAGTTTACATAAAGATTGTATGTTTTTGAATTCAGGCAGCCAACTTTACAGATGTTATTCCTGACCCTTGCAGTCATTCGGGATACAAGATTAATATAAGCCAATCAGAACTGTTCAATAGTCCATGCGCTTCAAATGCAATTGGGGGACTTATTCCAGTAGAATCAAGAGTAAGTTGTTGGAAATATTCACTTGCTAAAATTGTCATCATCCTCCTAACAGAGGGCTACAGAACTCATTCTTTCTTCTGGGAAGAAAATATTTTTGATTTTGGAGCCCCGCAATCAAATCAGTCTTGCACTACAGTACAATAGACTAGATGCGAGTAGAAAAATCTTCATTTACATCATATGAATATTCAAAATTTAGTCAAAGCAATGTCATATTTGAAATCTATATTTAAAAGTACATCTAGAAATATGGTTACGAACTTTGAAAATTTTATTTTTTTGAAAACGTGACTTCTAGTTCGGGGAGATTCCCCATAGACCCCATCTTATAAAATCACAAAAAGTGAAATATCTTTTCTTGTATCGGACAGATAACATTTTCTTTTACTGGACATATGTAATTTGCATAACTATTAGATACATAAGGGTGATATGAAAATTGAACCACAAAACAGATGAATATTTAAGTTAAAGGGAACTTTCTACGATACCCAGCATGCTATCTGACCTGAACGAGCCACCTGGCCGTGAAAGTGGTAATTACAAACTCGCATCTGAGTTATTATTTTGTATTTTTAAAAGCCCAGTATTATCAGATGATGTACATGGTGTTATAGTCTAGCTACAAGGCCTAGTGTTGTGTGGTGAAGTAGGTCAACAGTCTTGAAGCAATTAAGACTAATGGTGTGATGGCTTGCCAAGGGTATATTAATCTTAGATAAAACTTAAGAACCCATGCACACTGTGTTCATGAGTATTGGTATTTGATTAACTAATACAAACTTATTACATTTTTTGAATTTCTCATTTCAGGACAAGATGTTTGAGTTCCAGGGTACAGGAGATTCTGATCAGTGTGCATATCTAGTAAATGAGCTCATAAATACGACATCCTGTACGTTTAACCACTGCTCATTTAATGGAAAATACCTTTCTCCCCTCTTTGGCAATTATAAGGTGAGAAAATATTATGAACAAAGTTCGGTAGAGACATAGTGGAGCCCTTTGTCCATCCGTCAGTCAGTCCGTCCATCTGTCCATCTGGAATATAACTCAAATACTAGTGGATGGATTTTCTCCATATTTGGTGGAAAGATGTTTATTGATTATTAGTTTTACAACTTTCATTCTAAACCAAAGTTTTTCATTCTAAACCAAAGTAATATATTATTTATTGTTTCGAATTTTGGTTATGTATTCACAACATCTATCCTTTTCACACATATCCTGGTTTGAGACCTTTCTGAAGTATAGCTTTATAATACTCAAATGAAAGGTATTTTAGAGTTTATTGCAAATTTTTGTTTTTTTGATTCGGGTCTCATAAAATTCAAAATGGCTGCCTCATGTGAGATTTCACGTTAAATTTCAATCAAGGGTAGAGTAGATGGTAAATATTGTATCGTGACATTTACAGATTCATAAATGTAATGTTCATTGGGCTTTGCTACTCCATGGAGTTGCCAATTTCTAGTTCTTTTTCACTTGTTGAGGCGATACAGCCACCTATTATTCGATAAAATGCATCTTTGTAGTGCACTCTCATTAAACAATTTAAGAGAAATCATAGGGATTTGCAATATACATAAGTGGGTAGAACTATTATTTCCCATGTCACAGCAAATATAAGGGTCAGAAGGTAAAAATAATGCATTTTGCTGGCTATATCTTGTCCAATTTTGTAGACAATTTTTCTAGTGTTTGCCGATGCTCTTAAACTCTTGGAATGATTTGTTTATAAACATATTTTTTGTAAAGCTAATATACATTACATGTTTCTACCATGTGAAGTTTCAGGAATTTGTTTTCTCACAAAACTGCAATGAATAACATCTTATTTTTCTGAAAGTCAGTGCTTTTATGGTAAACTGATAAACCGTTTTTCCTTTATTTGTAATCTGAATTTGAAAACTGTGCTACTACAAAGAATTGTTCATAAATAATATCAATAGAATCAAAAATGTTGTGTTTGTGTCAAACTTCTGTTGATGACATGGCTTTTAGTTAACAAAGGTTAGGCCCCACCACAGAGAGATGTCATACCTATTTATTGAATAGTTTGAAATAAATGGGATTAAAACATACACAGTGATATGCATTATAACTATACAATGACTATACATGATGAAGATTTTTATCACACCATCGGTGGGATATAGTCGTCATACTGGTCGTGGTCCTGGTCGTGATCGTGGTCGTGATCGTTCCGCTTTTTGTCATCGGAAAACTGCTCATCAGATCTTCTCCAAATTCGCAGAGATGATAGAGCATATGAAGTACTAGAGCTGATTAACTTTTGGGTGGCCATCTTGAAAAAAATGATGAAAAAATGTACAATCTTTTAATTTTAAGTATGACCTGAATCGATTGCAAACTTCATATTTGCACATTTGATGAGATAAACCATTTGTGTTGTATTGTGAAATTATTAAGTTTGCAATCGATTCAGGTCATAGTGTATTTTTGGTATTTCTGTGATAATCAATTGAAACCAATGGCCTCTATTGGGATCTGCTGATATCCTCATATTAAGTCAATGGTGCACAGCCCTATGTAAGTCAATACAACCTTACTGAACGAAATGATCCCTATCTCAGCTTATGTGTGTCCGAGCACTTTAATATTTTCCAAAGTATTATATGACATTTTATTCTTCATGTTACACCTACGAATGATTCATTTTGACCATAGGGATATTTGCCAATAATTGCACCTTGTCCTTTACACAAATGATAGAGGATATCAAGTGCTAGAGCTGATTAACTTTTGGGTGGCCATCTTGTTTTCTGGTGGCCATTTTGAAGGTTTTTTGAAAAATCTTGTCATTGCCGTTTCAGAAAAACCGCTCATCGGATTTCCCTCAAATTTACACACATGATAGAGGATATCAAGTACTAGAGCTGATTAACTTTGTGGCAGCCATCTTGTTTTCTGGTGGCCATTTGAAGTTTTTTCGAAAAATCTTGTCATTGCCATTTCAGGAAAACTGCTCATCGGATTTCCTGTACATGATAATTGCCTATTTGATGGTGTGATCTCGTTCACGTCCTGTGCCTTGTTATAATATTATATGAATATTATGCATTATACTTCCAGGCTTTCTCTGGGTTCTACTTCAGTACATTTGATCTGAATCTTACATATCCATTCAGCCTTGCCAAATTCCGGAATGTCACAACGACCTTCTGCAAAAAATCTTGGCCTGAGGTAAGAGACTGTAGTTCCTTGATCTAATCATGTATAATGAGAATTTTTATAGAATTCTTTTGATTATAATTGATGATAATGATTGTATTAGGAAATGTGTTTCACATTTATGTGGCAACCTACATAATATAGTAGAACACACATCTGTAGTTCAAAATCAAAATACATTGACTAGATATGATATAAAATGACATTCATTTTGTTTGTAACTGTTTTGCGAAAAAGTGGAAGTACACTGTACCTTAACCCTTAAATGGTTTTTTGGGTTTGGACCCCAGAGCACATTCTTTGCAATAATTATATCAGAAATAGTCATTCAATCTACATGAAATTCCATCTTATCCTCAATTAAAACAAACCAGATGTAAATTTCATGGTAACTTTTTGTTCTAGTCATATCAGGTGAAATCACATTCTAGAAGTTTCATATCTCCTGTTTGCAAGATGATTAAACAAAAATGATCTGACTACTACAACCATATAATGATAATTATATTTGTTTAAAAAACATTTTTAATGTGTTTCAGGTACAGAAAATTCCAACTCCTGCATCATTTGACCTTCCAGTATTCTGCTTCAATGCCCACTATGTTGATACCATACTGACAGATGGCTACAACTTCACAGGTTCAGATTGGGACAGGCTTGTATTTGCAAACCAGGTATGGATTACCAACCTCTCTGATTATTATCAATGTTGGGGGTACAGAGAATGTCGTGTTTGTAACCTAAAATTGGCAAAAAATTTTATCTGCTTTTTTGATTGTCTGCCCTTTTAAAAATTACTTAAGTGATGTTATTTTGAGGTTTCAACATATACTATATCACGTCTCTAGTCTGTGATTCTTCTGTATCATGCAACTGCAAGTTTTACCATCGTGTCTTTCTAATGTTTTTGGAAAGAAAGAATTTGGTTTACTGCAATGTTTACAAAAATTGTACTGGCTCTTAAAACATGCCTTGTTCCAATGCTACACCACTATTGACTGATACTCCAGTCATATTGATAGGTTGAAATATGTAGATAATAAGCTTTGTTAATTGAGTGTAAAATATCTATATCACAAGTTTTCATGGAAATATAAGTCTCTTGACAGGGACTTTCTGTAACAATGTTGAATAAAAGTAATTTAAAACTTAAATCCTATCCACAGAGGTTTTAAAAGTAAATGGTCCAAAAATGAATTTTGCGAATTAAAAATTGTGGCCATTTTTAAAGTAGGTTAGCTTTTGAATCAGGAGTCATAGGGAGGTGTTCTGTATTTGATTTGATTTGAAAACTTTATTCTGAGTAGCTCTATCAGTACAAAACTGGTCATCCTAGAGGCCCCGTAATAATTTACAATTATTTACAATATATACAATTAATATAATTATAAACAAATACAAAAAGATATATAGGCAATATAGAACAATATGCCTTTTCAAAAGTAAAGTGCTTTAACATAAAACATACAGAACAACTTATTAAGAGAATTACATGAATATGTATTGATTTATCTGAACAAAAATGATTTAAAACCATGTGAGCTAAAAAGAGTTCTAACTTCTAAATAAGGTTATTTTTATGTTACAGGTACGTGGAAGTGACCTTGGCTGGAGTCTTGGGTTTATGATAAATGCCACAAATGCCATCCCCGTTGATGCACCTGTAGAAAGAATAAGTCTAGTGGTGTTTATCTTATTGACTGTCCTATTTGCTTTATTCTTGCTGTGTGCTGTTGGGTTTTGTTGTTACGCACATAGCGAGAGAAAAGCTATGACAAAAAGTAAATACAGAAGGATCCCTAATGAGACATCATCTCCGAGCCACTATGGAAGTTTAGACTAGATGAAAAATGGTCTAGATATACCTGTTATATATCTCTGTGGTTAATCAATTGCCCTTTATCAAGTATTCTTTATAGTCCCTTTTCTTTAGTGCCCTGATCAATTGGACATGAGATTGGGTGTGACTTTATATAGGGAAAATAGTCTTATTTCTGTCAATTAGGCTGGTGTCAAAAACTCAAAAGAAAAGATCAAGAACTTTTATTTATACCTCTCATGAAATTAAAATAGTAAACTTGGCGGGGTAGTTTAGAATTTGAATTGATAGTGATCAGAAACAAGAGTATTTTTTCATGGCCCTAAATGGCTGCTAAATTGCAGTGCCTTTTATGTTCCTTATGTGCCAATGTGTCATTTTATTTTTCTTCTATGATCATCAACTCATATTATATTGAATATTATTGAAATTATATTGAAACATTTTAAGTTATTAGTGATGTTTTAAGTGTCAATAGTTTTGAAAAAGTTATGAAGTTGAAATTCAAAATAGAAGTTTGAATCTGCATAATAATTCACATACATATCCATGGGATTATTTGTTGATGTAACACTTCATTTTTGATTCCGACATCAACATTCAATGTTGATTTTGATGGGATATTGAGTTTTTTTATCAGACATATTGGAGAACTTTTACATCTGTTATTTTCCAGTCATGTCATTTGTGATGCTGAGTGGTATTAAGAGTGCATGTTGTACTATGACCAGTGAGTCTTGCAGCATTACAGCAACTTTGTAAGCCAAAGAATTTGAGAATTAAATTCAGGCCATAGCCAGGATTTGCAAAGGGGGGGTTCAGTTTTCAAAATTTTCCAGCGGGGGTTCACATTTGACAATTTTGGCCCAAATATGGCTAAAATCACTTGAGAAGTGCTCAAAATGGTGAAAAACTGCATGATTTTGAAAGGATTTTTGGCCAGGGGGTGGGGGGTTTGCCCGAACCCTGCGAACCCCCCCCCCCCCCCCTGGCTACGAACCTGACATTGCACTTGCAGTTGAAAAACATAAGTTAAATGATAAGTGGGATATTTTGTGTACCCTTTTCAAGACTGTTTTTTTTAAAAAGAGCTCCATCAACACTATGAAAATGAATTATCAAATGATCTAACCAATGACTCAGGTGTGAGTAGGTAATTACCAGTTTGGGTCAAAGTTCCCTTTAGTTCAATTTCATCTGTTTTAGTGGTTCAATTTTGATACCACCCTTATGTATCTAATAGTTGTGCAAATTAAAATATATCCAGTAAAAGAAAATGTTACCTGTCCAATACTAGAAATGAAAAGATATTTCACTTTTTGGGATTTCATAACATGGGGTGTATGGGGAATCTCCCCGAACTAAAAGTCACATTTAAAAATTAAATTTTCAAAGTTGATAAACAATTTTTGAAACCATATTTCTAGATGTACTTTTACTTGTAGATTTCAAATATTACATCACTTTGACTGAATTTTGAAAATTTAATGATGTAAATCAGGATCATATCTACTCGCATCTAGTCTATTCTATTGTGCAATATGTATAAATATTATGCTATCCTATATAATGGGTTAAAAATGAAGTGAGAAAATTGTTACATTCCGAGGGATTTGCATTCGATGCATATTCTGTTTTTACAAACATCTATGGCAACTTTATAACCCAAGGAAACAATTTGTTCAAAATATTATTCAAAATTGATATTGGAAAAACTATGGTTCACAAGGGAAAATTGTTATTTTTGTTGGCTACTCCATTGAGTTCCAATTTTCATTTAGACTTTTGTGTTATTTGCGAAGATGATTACTTAAAGTTTAAAGTATTTAAGTATACTACAGTATAACCTACTATTTTGAAGATTTTTACGAGGAGAGTTCAGTTGCTTAGTAGTATTGCAGATATCCTCCATGTTTTAAACGAAACAGGTTGTACATGGTGAGCCAAAAAAGGTAACCCAAACAAATGTTAATAACTATCTTCCAACATTTATTTCAATCATATTTGGATTAGGCACAAGTGATCCTTGTTAAATCTTCATTGGTCTATTTGTAATGTTCACGATTTTATGGCCATTTTACAAAACATGATCCAAATGGGGAAAATCATCTGATAAGGATCCCCAAACTTTTATCTTTGGAGCTATTTCAAAGATATTGTCCACACTGACAACTCTAGAAACATGGGCATAGTGAGAGATGGTTCGTGGGGTCGTGCAAAACCCCCATTCACCTTGAACCCCATTTCATTATAAAACGAACAACTAGCCGGAAACAAGCTCCTTTCCTGAAAGATCAACAAACCACAGGCCAGGAGCGAACCCCACTCTCAGAAAGATGACTATATTGCATGAATAGTGAATCACATGTTTATACTAGGTATTTTATGATGCATGGTCAATATTCTGTAATTTGATTGGTTTGTTGAAACCATTTACATCGCGCAGGATGTTTTGTAAAATAGCCATAAAATTGTGGTCATTTGAAATAGACCAATGGAACCTGGAAGAATGAAAGAACATTGAACAAGGTTAAATTGTAACAAACATGATTTAAAACCAATGCTGGATGACCGAAGTCATTAACATTTGTTTGGGTTACCTTTTTTGGCTCACCCTGTATTATGATCAGTACTTTCCATATAAAATTTTGACTTATGTTAGGCTATATGTATGCTTCTTTTCAAAAGCCATATTGACCACATGTTAAAGTCTGTCTATGTCTGGTAAGCAAGTTTAAATGATAAAATGTTGTGTCATAAATGCTTATGTCATTGAGAAAAAATGATTTAAAATTAATTCAAACATATTTACAGGTTTCAATATGCTACCTAATCACCCCGGAATAGCCTGACAACGGTAAAGTCAGATACCGTTGTCACAAATGGCGGACATAACCATCGCTTCAATTAGATTTTCATGAACTGTATGTTTAACAGAGCACCCGGGTAGACTAAATTCCTTTGGAACAACAATCAATCAAAGTGTCAAAATACTCATTGTACAGTTAATAATGCTCTACCATCGAAATAAAGTCTTGAATTTAACCGATCAAAATGAGATACTAGACGACGTAAACTGCAATACAATATGCCGTTGTCTTTCTAAATTACTCAAATTCAGATTCCGTTGTCATTGACAGACGCTATTCACATTTCCACATAGTAAAGAAAATCGATAATTTCCGGCGCGCTTAATGAGTCAAATCAATGACGTCAATGGTAGTAAGTTTTGAAGAATTAGTACAGCCAGCATAGGAATATTTTGAATTAACTGCAATAAAAAGGATTCTATTTGCCCACACTTATTTTTTTTATCAAATATGAAATATGGACGGAGCACTTTCATTCCGATTCATAGGCCCAGGTTAAGTACCGTAGTAATCCATATAATAAATTATTATATGGATTACTACAGTACTTAACCTGGGCCTATGTTCCGAATCGTATGTAATTTAATTCAATCATTTTTTGACAGAACTATTGTTGATTAAGACTTCTCAGATCAGCCTCACATACCTGGGCTCACATGTCTCGTGCGATTGTAAACAAAAAATGTAAATTGTGAAGTTACAAACAACTCGGTTAAATTATCTCATAGTGGTCATACAATATCCTGTTAAATGGTTATTATGTCGAAGTCACAAGTTCCATCAGAAATTCACCATGTATAGTGTGACATTCGCGCAATGCGTTACCTTTTGGTATTTATTCGCCATCAGCGAAGTCAATAATGATCAGCCATGTCAACATATCATCAATTAACATTATATGATATACGCTCTTTCTCTGAAATCTTCCCAGTGATCATTATTCAAAACCGATCATCACATAACTAATTTATCCTATGAAAAGTTAGGTTTCACAAGTGTAGTTTTCAGGACACATACATGTATGCAGGTATGGCTAAAATCCAGGTTTGTTTTCTATTAAGCATTCTCATTCTCATTATTTTCGAGAAATCCATCATCATTTTGGTTGAGGAAATATCTACGGTCTGCTGGATCTATTTTGACAGTTTTGCTTATTTTCCCGGAAATATTTGGATCGGAAGATATGCAGCGGGAAATATACATTGGAATATATATAGGCCTACATGTTTATTCCATACTTGGATGTGTTACAGGTACATAAAGCCGGTTTGTAAAAACTTTTCATCAGCGGTCAGATATAGTAAACGACAATGGAGAAAAAAGATGGTTTAAAAAAGGGAAGGAGCATCCACTTAAAAATTCGAGAAAATAAATGTGGTAATAATTGAGAACAGGAAAATCCGCCCACGGCCAAGGAAACAAAACTTGACATGAATATTCTAAAATATCTCCACGATTGAACAATGTGAAACAGATGGGATAAACATATTATTCTGTAGTCGGTTTAGGATATTGGGATTATCCCTTGGCCAATGCTAGTATAATATATTTTCCCTCGGGACCTGCGGCCCTGCTAATCCCAATATCTTGAACCTCATATAGGATAATCTCTATATATGTCACGCTCCTTCAAGATATAAATTCTGTATCCCTATGTTTTCAATTATAATATTTGCTCATTGACGTCACAGATTTTTAAGCATCTCGTTATAATATTCATGAGCTGACTTTGTGGAAAGGTGAATATTGTGGCGATTCACGACCCAATTTGATCGAAAATGGGATTTCATATGATACATTATCACAAGAGCTTAATACATGCACAGAATTAGCGACGATAAAATCCCATGAAATGAGGACCGAGTGATTAAACAGTTGAAGCGACGGTTATGTCAGCCATTTGTGACAATGGTTTCTGACTTTACCGTTGTCAGGCTATTCCGATGTGCCAATTGAGGAGACAGGATTGCTAGTCGATTGTATGTAATAGAGTTGAAAATTAGCCATAATTCTGCATATATCATATTTCTGTACAGTATTTGTTATGTTGCTTAAACAACAGAACAATGGTACTCAAGAAATGATTGAATTATGGCTTTTTTAGTGTGCTACAAAACCAAATTTTGCATCAATGTGATATGCCATAATATATTTGTGTAACATAATTGTAATTTTTGTTTACTACTGTTGTGGACATTTTGTCACATGGAAAAATTATTAAATCATGTAAAAACTGATTATGTGTATTTAAATTATTGTTTTGTTATATGAATTTGGTTTTTGTATTTCTATGAAGTGAAATAATTTTTTGGAAAGGGCTGCGAGTCGTCTGTAGAATGAAGTCATGCATTTCGCTTATAATTTTCATCTTAAAAACAGGAACAGGACTATAAGATTTCACCATATGATACCCAAATTTATTTCTCATTTTCAAGGATATCCATGGATTACCTTCAAAGTATTGTTTTTCAAACTTCAGAGGGATGGGAATCATTGATTATCAATGTTTTTGAACAAGATTAATGCTGTTTTAAATAGGTTTCATGTATGCCAATAATTTGTCAAATTATTTAATGCTGGCACCTTCTTAAATCCCTAGAATTTTCTCTTTGAGGAATTTCCCATGTAAATCCAATGGTACAGTACCAAGCAGATTTTGAGATACTATACTAGTAACAGGAAGGTAAATCTTTAATACACACCTTATTGGGTTGTTTTGGTGATACTGCAATCCAATATTATTAAAGATTTACTTTTCCTAACATATGATACCAAGAACAAAAAAGGTAACATTTGGTGACATATTATGTACGGTGTATTTTGATGTGATTGCCACTTTCTTTTTATAAAATTCTAAATTGACAAGAATAGCGAGGCAACTAAATGATTCGGAAATTAATCATATATTTTTGATCCTTTAATCGCTCAGAAGATGCCAAATAAGCCTTAATATTCAATTTTTATTTAAATACATAAATCATATATTTTGATCCTCGAATTGCCCAGAACGCACTAAATCAACCCAAAAAATCTTAACTTTTTTAGGGGAGCATGCCCCTGATTTTTATGATCCTAGCATCGCTCAGAATGTGTCAAATAAGATTAAAAATTCGATTTTTTTTAAATACGTAATTCATATATTTTGATCCCAGAACGCATCAGAATCGTCCAGAATGCACTAAAAAAGCCCTAAAAAATCATTTCAGGGCAGCATGCCCCTGATTTTTTAACTAAATCATATATTTTCATCCTAGAATCGCTCAGAATGCGTCAAATAAGCCTAAAAATTCATTTTTTGAAATACGTATTTATTTTGATCCTAGAATCGCCCAGAACGCACTAATGCCTGGGTCACATTTGTTCCGATTCATCAACATAGATATGTTCACAACTGTATTCAGTTTTGAACAGAATACTCAATTAGCCGGGCGCCGGCCGATGAATCGGAGCAAACGTGACCAAGGCATAAATCAGCCCAAAACTCCTAAATTTTCCAGGGAAGCATGCCCTCTGGCTACATCACTCACTCACAAGCTATGCATACCAATAGCCCAGTTTCAAGTTTTCAAGAATGGTTTACACAAGAAGGGTTTCCAAAATGGTCCATCATGGAATACCATGGCCCTCTTTTCTCGTATCATAGACACAGACAGGTTTTTAGATGCGATGTGTAACATAATGAAAATGCTCTGGCTTCTTCCTAACTTGGCAAGTTCTTTCTTATAGTCTAAAGGACCAAACTTTGCCGAAATTCTGACATACGACCTTAGTTCTAATAGATATGTTGCTATTCTCGAAAATTCTGAATCAAAAATTGATTGATGACGTCACAATTTATGCAAATTAACTAATTTGCATAATTGAATATCATTACTTTATGTGAAATTTAATTAGGTTTAATTTGATACCAATATCATCTCTATAGACCAAATAATGACAAAGTTACAAATGAATTAAGATTCCAAGGTTAGATGTCTAAAGATGCGTAACCATGGTAACGGAATGCAACAATACAGTGCAACCAATGAGATTTTGCAAGGGCATCCGGCAAAAAATTGAGCCTCAAAGTGTTACCTTTCAAAAAAGTATGGATGCCATAAATTAACAGAGACCGAAACGTTGGGTAAATTTTTTGAAACGATAGAGAGCCATGGGTCTCTATCTCAGAATTTGAATTGTTTTCCTTTATTTGTTTCATTTTTCAGAATACTTTACGAAAGAGATTTGACACGTTCGCTCCTCTCATTTTGGTAAAGCCTTTGGTTTGTAATGAGAAGATTGTCTATATACTTTCTCCAGTATGTATGGACAAATATTATGTACATGTACTCCATTGTTTATGAACACACATTTTGTATGAACGAATAATATGTACTTTCTCCAGTGTGTAGGAACGCAGATTATGTACGTTCTCCAGTTTGTATGAACGAATATTTTGTTTATTCATCAACGTGCATGCATGAACCAACACATTTTAACTTGTATATGGAACCCAACGATTAAGTATTTCCAAGTAAGATTTTTTTTAGAAATGTTTGTGTAATTTGGTCAATAAACTAACTATAAATGTCTGCAATAATAGAAAATTCATAGTGATTTTTGGGCATTTTGGTAAAGCCTTTGGTTTGTAATGGGAAGAGTGTCTTTATCACTAGAACTGTTCTGCAGGGGTCTTTTGCACATTGATAAATTATATACTAGTACATCTACATGCTTCAAAAGTTGCATTCTCAATCCTTTACTGCCACTTTAAGTAAGACTTGTCTCTAGAAGACAAAAATCAGGGGAAGTAGAAGTTTATAAATGAAGACAAGAAAGTCATGTTGTTATACAAAACACCAATGTATTTGAAGAACATTTCTTTACAAATGATTACAATTTCGTACATCTAGTTCCATTGTATTATATGTACCAAGACAGGAATATGTATAAAAATATATACAATTAACAATATGACATATATAGACATGCAGCACATCCTTACAACCCTGTGCTCTTAGAACTCCCCTAAAGGAAGATATGTAGGGGCATCAGTAAAAACTACAAGACTATAATCAACTTACTAGATAGCTATGTTTAAACAGAACGAGGAATGCAGTGAATTCCTCAACAGTCATGTTAATGAGTGAAATGCATGCCTTGATGCAGGAGTGATTCTGATGAAAATGTACAATTATACAGGCCCATATGACAATACTGCTTTAATGTATTTATCTTTATTTGGCAAGCGTTTTGCAAATTAAAAAATTGCCAAAGAAATATACCAAGGTGGCCGAGACTGTTTAAATTTTATTTCGAAATATAAGAACAACAACACTGATAATGAGTATCTTAATAAATACATAGATATATGAGATTAATCTTCTTAAAAAAACACCAAATTAAATAGACGCCAATGCTCCGATATCCCAAAAATCGGTAAATTAACCTCTTGAATCCAAGGTTCTAAAATCAGTTGAAACCAGAGAATTTTTCATTTTTGTCAGCTTTTGACACTTTACTAAATACATAAACAACAGGTGATGCTCATTTTAGTAAAATTAGACGGCAGAGATCATTTTTACACATTTTAAAACAAATTTTGTGAAAACGTTTTGTGTAAACTGGATGAAAAATGTTCAAATAAGAGCAATTTTAGTGAATCTTTTTTGTGACGGATTATCTGTCACTCTGGGTTTCAAGGTCATTTTTCAGGTAACGGGAAAAAAAGAGATTTAAGACAAATACATTATTCCAAGAGATTTTCACTCAAGATGGTCTGCTAGCATCAAGTTTTCTTATTACATCACTTTTACTTTTTATCATACAAAGTAGTACATGGGAACCAAATACTAGATGCAAGACTTTCTTCAAAATATTTAAAGTAAACATCAAGATAATAGCATTTATAATGTCAAAATAACTAATTTTAAAAACAGAAATTATGGAGTTCAGTTGGTTCTAATGACACCATCTAACTTCATGAAAGACAATTGAAAGTCAGAACAATACAGTCAGACAATATTTTCAAGAATCCCTCAATTGTTCTAAGTAAATCCTCAATTTTGGACTTTAAATTGAGGTGGTCACACTTTTAGAAGTGTCTTCACTGCTCATTTAAAGGACAATGTTTTTACGACACCAATATAGGCCAAAAGACATACTATTTCCACAGTCACTTAGTCCTTCTTCTTGCATTTTTTGCCACTCAATTTTCATAAACATGTACACATACAGAAAAAAAATGCCTGTCGTGGTGAATTCCATTGATCTCAAAGGTACTGTATCTAATATCTATTGCCATAGCCCCCACCTCCTCCACTGCCGTAGCTGCCTCCCCCTTCCCCAGAAGAGATAGCAGCAGCTTGCTGGGTGTACATTTGCTGTTGGTCGTATGTGTCTTTCGCATTCAATTTCAAGAAGATTCTCTCTAGGACTCTCTTGGCCTCACACATAGGAAAGTTGGACATATCAAAGTACTGGGGTGCTATACGAACTAGCCTGGAAAACAGTATCCATTAAATATTAATTTATTGCAACTGTATGTTCTTTCTTTCGATTGGATTACAGTTAATTAAATAAATAATAAATCAGATTGTGCTGCAACACACATCCACCCAGGCAACTTCACAAGATGACACCCATACAAAGTCTTCTAGAAAGTAACCTTGATAGCTTATTCTTCTTAGTTTTCTTTAATAAAATGTAAACATACCATTCTGGTTTAACATCTGTCACTGTGCGTATGTAGTTCTTGGTTGTCAACACAAATTCATTGTACACTACCCACTCTGGCTTGTGGTCAAGACAAGTGCTTGGATGTAGCTGAACTATTTGGTTGTCTTTGCAGGTCAGATAATGGCCAGTCCTTTCCAGATGGGCAACCTGAAAGTGCACAAAGCATGATGTCATTTAGTGTCAAGTCATTATCTAATCAGTCAGAACATTGCGTCTAAGTGCACAATGCCACCTGCAGATATCAAACTTTTGATTTTCATGGATAAATGCACATCTTTGACAAAGAGATTATTCAGGGTAGCATTCGATAAGTACATAAAAAAATGATGCTGTAACTTAATTTCCTGTGTTTGCTATACCAATTTTAAAGTACTGTATACCTTAATCTTCTTTTGAGCTTTATTGTGTACAAGATAACACAAATGTGAGATCATGAGCGTGGATGATAACCAGGGCTTAAGCTAAGCAGGGGTAACACATTCATAACTGGCAGATTCACATAATTGACTGGCTCATTTTATCAACTGGCAGTCGATTTGACAGCCGTGAATATTATGTCTCACATTACCTTCATATTTGAATGTCTGGTACAACTATGATCTAGCTTCTTTAAATACAATTGCTTTATAAAAGAAGTTTCCTCGCTATAGCGACTTTCAGTAGACATGATAGATGACCACCCCATAAATCAAAAGTTGCAGTCTGTATCACCTCCAGTAAAATGGAGCTTGCTTAGCTCAAGCCTCGATGAAACTTGAAAGTTTGATCAATTAATGTTTCAGCCAACCTTGAAGTCACAGTCACCCAGGATGGGCATGCAAACAAAGGAGGTTGATTTCATGTAGGCCAATGTGTAACCTGAGATAGGAAGTGAACCTTCCACAGGCTTTCAAGTAGGCCACATTGCACTATCCAGTCATTCCAGATAGTAATGCCCCAATCACAATCAGTGTTAATCATTATGGTTGTATAGAATGGTTCAGTGCCTAATATTGTCACTAAAAGTTTGGCTCCATTTGTTCACATATGTGTTGTCACAATCAGTTAAAGTCAGAAATTCTTAAATTACGTTATTGTCGCCAAGAAGCATTTTTAGGTATATGGAAGAAAACAGACTAAGTTTATTTATCACAATCCGTATTATATATTTCCATGCGTAACAATGATGTGTAAGAAATATTCATGCAAAGTTTCAAATCCAAATACTAACAAGAACCTCTTCTTTTTCACGTTATAATAATGTCGCCAGATTTGTGAAAGTTACTGCCTGTTGCATGTATACCTGATATGGAGCTTATACCAATGCGACATTTACCTTCAAAGAAACATCAAATACTAGTGAACATATAAAATATTCATGAAATATACAGAATTTCAATGTATTGACCAAGATATTTCATTTGTGACTTGTCAAAAAATATTTTTTGAAACGTATGGATAAGGACTTTAAACTACGTTACCAGATATCCAACATAATCAAAGAACGAAGGCACCGTTTTCCACATATGTTGTACTACAGCCTTTGATGACTTGATATGAGACCCTACTGTGTCAGCTAGTAGTGAATTAATAATTGATTCGCATTAAAATGTTACAAATATTTAATAACGTTACTGTTGTATTATCTGATTGATCATATTTGATTGTGTTATTTCGTGATACTACACTTGTGTTTATTTCGTGACATACTGTATGCACGAGCGCCATCTTTACTTATAAAGTCAGCCATCTTGATGTACATGTGTAAAATATTTCAAAGTATAATATAGACATAAAAATCAACATAAAACATTGTTATTGTCGTCATATTATAACAGAACATGGTGTCAGATATATATTTCTACACCGAGGACAGTTCAAACTGCGTAAAAATCGACAGTGGGAGCCGATGTTGATGGATTATTGTGGATATTTTGAAAACCAGGTGACATTTTTCCTCGGAAAATAAGTTATATTTTCGAAAATATCATATCTCAACATACTAGAACTTACTAGACAGTACTCCTGTATATATATGTGCATATTATAATATTCAACAATATATGATATATGTGAACTGTACCAAATCAATATGGCAAATCTTCTTGTTCAACCTCCTGAGCCATTGGACTCCTCAAAGCCAGAGTTATGGACAAAATGGATAAGGCGATTTGAGCGGTATATGATAGCTTCAAACTTAAATGAGTCTGGAGATAAAACTCAAATTAACAGTTTAATTTACCATATGGGAGAATTCGCTGAGGATATCTTCCAGAGTTTTACTTTTACCGCAGCTGATGAAGACAGTGAAAACTATAAGTGCGTCAAAGCAAAATTTCAAGAATACTTCATTGTTCGACGTAATGTTATATTCGAACGTGCTACATTTAACAGAAGAATTCAAGAAGACGGTGAGTCCGTTGATAATTTCATTACTGATTTGTATTCCTTGTCGGAGCATTGCGACTTTGACGCTCCTGTTGTGGGAGAAACTCGTCGTGAACAATTCATCAGAGACCGTATTGTGGTCGGTATATCAGATGCTCGATTGTCAGAAAAACTGCAACTCGACTCAAAGTTAACACTAAAATCTGCAATGGACGCTGTGAAATCCAAGGCAGCTGTTCATAAGCAACAAGAACAGTTAAGAATCCCTACTAGCCAGTCTGCGATTCAGGAAGTCTCCAATTCGAAAGGCGGTTTTAAGGGCAATAGGAATCGTTCACATAAGAAGAGGAGATCAGGACAAGACAAATCACCAGCTAATGCTACAAATTCTAAGTGTACCAGATGCGGTGGAACGCCACATATTAAAGCTAAATGCAAAGCCAAAAATTCACAATGTGGGAAATGTTCCCGATATGGCCACTGGGCTAAATATTGCCTATCTAAAGTCGATAACGTTGATCATGTTACAGCGTCTAGAGATCTTGATCATGCCTTTATAGGGTTGTTGACTTCCAACAAACCTCAGTGTGATGAATTTGATACTTTGTTGATGTTAAATCAAAAGCATGTGCAGTTCAAGCTAGACACTGGAGCAGATGTTTCAGTTATCACACCCGAAATTTACAATACTGTTAAATCATCATGTTCAAAGATTCAAAAACCAAGTAAAATCTTGTATGGTGCTGGTAAACATGTATTGAAATGTACTGGCATGGTTAGTGCCAGTGTGTCAGCTGGTAATAAATCTTGCAAGCAGGATTTTTACATAGTAAAGGGCTTACAAAAATGCCTGTTGGGTAAACCTGCCATAAGATCTTTAGGTCTTCTATCTGTGAATGCCAATTGTAACTTGAAATCTAATCACAGTCACATTGAACAAATTTCAAACTCAGAGAGTAGTGATATATACTCTAAACATGCAGAGCTTTTCACAGGCTTAGGAAGACTTGAAAAATCTTATGAAATAAAACTAAAATCTGATGCTCAGCCTTTCGCTCTAACCACTACGCGCAATGTAGCTTTACCATTATTGCCTAAAGTTAAGGCTGAACTTGAAAAACTTGAAAGTTTGGGGGTCGTCTCAAAAATTGATGAACCTACAGAATGGTGCGCTCCCTTAGTGGTTGTAGTCAAAGACGAGCATAATGTTAGATTGTGTGTTGATTTTACCAAACTCAATGAAGCTGTATGTGTTGAAAAGTATACACTTCCAAGTGTAGATGTCACCTTGGGTCAGCTGGCAGGGGGGCAGGTATTTACAAAGCTAGACTGCAATTCTGGATTTTATCAAGTACCCTTAGATCCCAAGTCCCGTCATTTGACCACATTTATCACTCCATTTGGGCGGTATTATTTCAACAGAGTTCCTTTTGGGATAAATTCAGCTCCTGAACATTTTCAGCGAAGAATGAATGAAATTTTAGCTGGAATGTCAAATGTTGTTTGTCAAATGGACGATATTCTTGTCTTTGGTAAGTGTTGTGTTTTGTATCAAGACTTTATTATACATCAAACATAATATAAGAACTACATAGTTAATGTGTTTCTAGTAGGAAGCCAGACTTACAAGTGTCTGCTATAAGCATGGTAATCTCAGTTAAGGGTATCAGATATCTTACATGTCTTAATGACCAGTACTGAAACCAGATACATAACATCTCCCTTCTTTTAGTTTAAAAACAAGTTAAACTTTTAACAGTCATCTCATTGAAATATGATCATTACTAATTCTGAATATTTTGTAAGGGAGCTCATTTAAACTTTACTAGCCATGTAATTTGAACTATCTGACCTGTCTCATGAACTTTAGTATTCATTGATAAAATGTCCAGTGCATATGTTTGTACTACATGCTAATGAGGTTCTTGACCTAAGAGTTTACTACAGTCTTACTACAATGTTTATTTTGATATGCTAATTTGGTCTATCCTTGACCTTCATTGCAAATATGGATATTTCCATTTCACTTCCAGTCTTGGGTCTACACTATATTATTGACAGTCATTTCACACATTTTATGCTGGAATTAAATGTCTCCTATTCCTTCTAAATTGTCCTCCATCTGGGGTTTCAACTAGATATGATCTGGGCGAATCTAGTTTCTCAGTCACTGTTGCATTTCTCCAGATGTATTTATTGTTCCTTTTCTCACGGACTTTGACAGGGGTATTAGGTTGAAGAGGGGCAAGGGGACGAGCGCGGAGGTCATACTTTCTCTTCTCCATCTGCTTTTTCTGCTGAAGTTTTGTGCGAACGTTGGGATCTGGGCTTTGGGGATTCAGTAGAACATCACTTGTAGGAATTTTAGATCGCAGTTTTCTACCCATAAGTAATTCTGCTGGGGATTTGTTGATCTTCGCATCAATTGGGGTGTTTCTCAAATTCAGCATGGCTGTGAAAATATCATCTGATTTTCTGATAATATTTTTTACAGTCTGAATTGTCCTTTCAATTTGGCCATTGCTATTTGCTAGATTCGGGCTCGATGTAGCAATGTCCAAGTTGTAGTCTTCGCTGAATTTTACATATTCTGATGATTGAAATGGTGGACCATTGTCACTGAATACTGTTTGGGGAATACCATTTCTGCTGAACGAGGCTTTTAGGCAATTTATGATGGGTTTTGCCTTGGTGCTGGTGAGTGAGTACAGCTCAGGGTACTTGCTGTAGTAGTCTACTCCAATTAGGTAATCCTTGTTGTTATGTGAGAATAGGTCAAC